TTTTTTTTTTTGCAATAACGGACCCTATTTGCACAAATTCATAAAAGCGGACCCTGGTTGAAAGAATGTGAGTAATTTTTACACAATTTCACGAAAAACGGACCCTTCACAAAATGTCTGGACAGACTCCTGCTTTAAAACAAAAAAGACTACTAATGTTCAACTCCATGGCCTTATCATTTTGACTCCAATCCAGATGACAAAGGAACTCCTGGATCAACTTTTGGGAGAAATTTAGTTTCGTGGAGGAATTTTTGATTGAACTAATCTGCATTTACGTTGCATGGCAAGGAAAACCTCGAAAGCCTTCCACGGTTAGCCAGACGGTAAGGAGACTCTAACCCATATTTCGTCTACTACTGAGGATATTTAACGGCAGCACTGTGGTCGGTGCGAAGCTGGGTGCGGAATTCGTATCAATCAGCTATCGCCGAGATTCGATCCTGGTTCACCTCATTGGAAGGCGAACGTTCTATTCCCTGAGCCATATCACGGCTCTTCACTACTATTTAAAAAACTTTTCCCGATAGTGTCAACCCAGACATAATTCAAAACTGCATTTTAAGATTTACGTTAAAATAAAGATTAGCCGTTCTCTATCGATCCCGTGCCACCGCGAGACCAAATTCTTTCCAACAGTATGTGTTAATAGAACAGAGGGTAATAAGATCCATGTTATCCAACCACTATTTTTTACAGAAAATATGTTTTCACCTAACAACTCATTGTGAATATTAACAACTAAAATGGTGGTTAAAATAAGAATTTTTTTTATATTTTTATTTCTAATGGCAAAAGAAAATGACAAACTCTTACAAAAAGGTGAACAACAAGTAAGAGAAAAAATTCACTTTCTCATTAACAGATGTCGGCCACTCCAGTAGCGCCTCACCTCAGAGTCCCCACTCAGAGCCGAGCATCTCAATAGATGGTTCCTGTCCGTAAGTTCATTATTCGAGCATAACGGGCAATTTGGGTCAGCGAGAATGCCGATGCGTCAGAGGTGGTTCACCTGGCAATCATGGCCCACCGCAAGTCCGAATTCTGCAACAGCCTTATTGCGGGGCTTATCGGCAATACCCTGTTCTAAGCTGTTCTTCTAACTTCTTAAAGAAATAAGAGAAGTGAGCAACGCAACATAAGAAAATTTAACTTTGATTTTATCACCGTAACACTTTCCGACACAACAAATTTTGATTGAAAATGTTTAGCAGGTGAAGTATTGCAACTGCTGCGATTGTAGAGAATTCGCCACGATGTGTTTTCCGGTGTTGTACCGTTCTCAGACAGAGTGATTTTTTTCGATACCTTTTAAAGTCGTCAACTCAGTTTTCTGAAGCTCTGTCGCCGAGGAAAATTAAAAAAAAGCCACAGTTTAAGTACCTTACACTTGAAGCAATGTGATAATTTAAAACTATGCAGATAATCTTGCCTTGAAGAATTATCTGGTCTTCAGCACAGACAAATAACATAAATATTTTAAAAATTACTTAACTTTTTTAAAAAATCGCCAGTTTGGCGACATTTTTACACCTAGATGAAAATTATTAAAATCACTGTCTTATTCTCAGTTTTCGCAAATTTTATAAGTCCAGGTAATGCGGCATTGGAGTAAATTTTTAAATATTAAAAAATTTGACCACAGACGCTTTTTATTTTCACAAAACCAATGCTATTCTCCACATTGATGTTTTGTAAAATTTTCAAAATAAGAGTAGACAGCGCTGGCTTTAGATAGGCTAAACTCGACCTAACGGTCATTCGTAACAGTTGCAAAGTCACAGTAGTTATGAAAATAACATGTTATTCGCATAAAAGTATCCTTTCATATTACGACGGAGGCTTCACAAAATAGCCTTAAATAATAAGCCAACTGCATGAATAAAATACGACTTACGAGTAATTTTTGAATAAATTAATAAAATGTGAGTAAATAATGTGAACTAACACCTTAAAAGATTGTTGTGCTGCTTATGACATGATCCCATTAAGATGCTGGGGCCTAAAATGACGCCAAGAGAGTGGAATGACTGAGCCAAAGCATACATCAAAACCTGGAAATAAAAACACCTAAATTAAACCGAATAATAAAAACTGCTAAAAACTCATTTGATAATATATTTTTTATTCCCCGTATTTTATACAGATAAAAAAAATTGCGCAAAATTTCTATACATTTTCAAACCTTTATTAAAATAAATAATTAAAGTAATAAAACACTCATAAAAATTTATTTTTGACACAGAATTATCCTTGGATCAATGAATTTTACGACTTTAAGGAAAAATTATTTTATTATTTCCAACAATTCCAGAGATGTGGCAAAATATGTTGAAATGAAATAAACATTAAGAGACTAGAACGATCAACCACTTTCTTGCCTTAATTATTCGGCCCATATTTTTGAGCAAGTTTGAAAATTTTATAAATAGCAAGGAGTCGCATAAATGTGGAGACACATTTCTGGAGGAGTTAGGGCACATTATCAACATTTGAATTTAATAGAAACCTATGCCCGGATATGTCCTCACACTCCTCTAGGATCACGAAAGAAACAGTTCATAATAGAGACGTTCCCCTAGCGTTGTAAGAACCACTTCCGGGCATGAGTTCATACACAATTTTTAACCTGTTGAAGTTCCCTAACTCCCCTAGAAGTTAGTCACAACATTTATATCGAGGAACGGTCTTGCTTTGGGGGTTACTAAAAAATCAAACAATCAATGCATTATTAATAATCACCGGTTATTATTAATGATGATCGGATTTTACCGTAACACATACAGTTCATAAATGAATAGAGTGATCAATAGATAATTACCCTGGGAGAAAACATCTTATTCCATTCTGGTTGAAAGAGATGATAGAGCCCTAGTTTTGCTCCCTCCAAACTGAGAGTTCGTAGAAAGATGCTCAAGAGCAGGAGATGAGAGAGGACGGTGATGATGTAGATGGCGTTCCCTCTGAAGAAGTCGGTTTTTCGAAGAGCGAAGTAAGTCATGATCCAGACGAACAGAACGGCAGCGACAATTTCGAATCGAAGCTCTCCTGATTCTCCGATGCTTTCACTCCTCTCTAAGATTTTTTCGCTGAAAAAAATAGACATCTTTTTTTTTTCACTCTGTAACGAAGCAAAGCTAAATGTTCTCCAATTTTATATCCCAAACGTAAATACTTTTCACGATATAATATCGTGTTTAACAACAAAAGGAAGCGTTATAGCAAATAATTTTAAAAATATTCAAAATTCCAAAATTCAATATTCCATCTGTCAAGATACTGTTTTTTTTAAAAGTAAAATTCGAGACATTTTAAGAACTTATTTGTCGGAATTATGCAATTTTTTTTATTATATTGTATACGTAAATTTTTTCTTGGATAAACGACAATTTTGTTAAGAGAAAAAAAATTTCTTATAAATTTTTTCCCATTTGCAATCGTTATATTACCATATCGATATTATGACGATATAGATAATGACGTTTATAGTAGATGATCCCCATCCTATAAAGCTTATGATAGATAATATGATAATAACAACACTTACTTTTCAATTACTTCTAAAACAATACTCTTTATAGCTACTGTGATTTTCTAAATTATAAAACCGATTATATTATGGTTAAACAAGTGTAAACAAAACAGAAGTTCAAAAAACCGGAAGAAGCGTCATAAACTTCCGGTTTCATCGCTCCACTGCGTTGCTTTTTGAAAGCAAGCTATTGGAAACCACAAATAAATAATATGAATGAATTGCAATATTTAGAATTTTATCGCCCATTTTGACAATTATTGTAAACATGGGTATTGTAAACTTCTTGGAGGTGTCTAAAAACAGGGGTGACGTATGGGTGGGACATAAGTCGAATTCTTGGCCATAGATGGCGCCCCTGGAAAACAAGAACAACCGCAACCCCAGTGCCCTAATCGCCTTCGACAGCAACAAAAACTTTTTAATTTTTTAAGGATCATATAAACCCTGTTTATTTGGTTAACGGTTTATTTGTTCAACAAAATATTTGATTTTATTAACTTATTTTTCAAAAAAATTCCAATGACTTACTTAAAGAACTCGACAGCTGGATGTGTGAAGTTTACTGTCCTGTCATACACAACATCAGCCTGAGTGTCGTTACTATCTGATGCAAGTCCAGACATGTTCAAGAAAGGCTGTATGGTGGTCATTTCAAGAGTCGCACTCGTTACATCTTCAGCAGGGGATGGGGGATCCAGACATTCTTCTGTGTTCCACATATTGGTGCATCGTGTCCACCGAGGAGGAGAATAGAATGAATTGAAGACGTAAAACATTGTCCAAGCAGTGAGAACACTATAGTAAGCTGTCAGCCAGAATGACAGCATCNGGTTAGCGCTGATTTCCAGCTGACGGCGTCCTGTCCTAAGAAACCAGGCCTTAAACTAGCCATTACGAGATATTAAATCACTTTAGTCACACGCGAATGCATCATTCGTGAAACATTGATGTTATTTAAAGGGAACTTATTTTCAATGTACTTGATTTCTCAGAGGATTCAAAGAATATTAAACAATAAAAAATTGCAAGTATTTGATAATTTCACTTTCTTAAATTAAATATTCGCCGTCTGAAAAAGCATAAAAAGTTGAAGACTAAATGAACAATTCGAAAAAAAAAATGTTTTGGAATAACAAGCTGGCTCATGTAAACATGAATAAACACTACATTTTTTTTAAAAAAAAGTTGTAGTTAACCACATTTGTAACAAAGTAGTTGTAGTTATAGTAAACTAAAAATATAATGTAGTTTCACTTAAGTATCTATACTAATAATATAGGTACTATAGGGTAATAGACTTTTTTTACGGCAGAACGAAATGTATAAGTACCTTTATTTATGAGACTGTTTTTTCTTTAACTTCAAATCTTTTTTGTTATTAAGAAAACCAGAAAAATTGCCAGTAAAGGAATAATCAAGGAATATAAATACAACTCTTGAAAATTAAAACGTTAGCGTAGTACTTGAAGTGCTTGACGTCAAAATGAATAAAAAACAATGTAACGGGGAATTTTTTTTTTTTGGCCATTAACGCAACCTATGATCATCTTTATCAAGGTTCGTACGATTCTTAAAAATTAAAAAAGTATAATCAGGTACCAAAAAAAAAAATGCATTTTAGTAAATTTATATCCACCACTACGCTGAAATTTTTTAAAATAAATTTACCTAGTTTCTAAATAGTCAACTTCGTATTTTAATTTTAAAGTGAAACTAATAAAAACAAATTTTCAGCAATATAACATTGACACTACTTTTTAATGGGGCCGCAATAACCTGGATTCCGTTAGACACAAGTTCGTGAGACTGGCTGTTCGAATCCAGCCAACGAAGACTGTCCGTGTAGGAAATGGTGACTGGAGCACGTAAATCTGTCGAGTCAGTCTTCCATGTTCCCATAGTAAATTATATCGCTGGGGGTACTGGATAGGAGAGTGATCGTTCTCTGGTTCAGGGCAAAATTACGATCTGTAGAAGTATAAATGGATGTATGAATGGGTCCATCCTATAACAATACCCCCAATACAATAGAAGAGAGAAGGCCTCAGCACGGGTTACCCTAAACGAGAAATTTGATCCTTTAGTAGTCCAAACGTAATGGCATCTTTCGTATTTACCACCACTGCGCAGCTTAGTAGCCCTAATGTAATGGCATCTTTCTTATTTTTTTTATTCACTGCGCAGTTTATGTGCGTTACATCGGACTACTAAATTGATCCGTGTTGAAGCCTCTTTTCTTCTTGGAGGCATTGACTATAAACAGGGGTGACGTATGGGTGGGACATAAGTCGAATTTTTGGCCATAGATGGCGCCCCTGGAAAACAAGAACAACCGCACCCCCAGTGCCCTAGTCGCCTACGACAACAACAACAACCACTTTTTAATTTTTTAAGGATCATATAAACCCTGTTTATTTGGTTAACGATTTATTTGTTCAACAAAATATTTGATTTTATTAACTTATTTTTCAAAAAAAATTTCAATGACTTACTTAAAGAACTCGACAGCTGGATGTGTGAAGTTTACTGTCCTGTCATACACAACATCAGCCTGAGTGTCGTTACTATCTGATGCAAGTCCAGACATGTTCAAGAAAGGCTGTATGGTGGTCATTTCAAGAGTCGCACTCGTTACATCTTCAGCAGGGGATGGAGGATCCAGACATTCTTCTGTGTTCCACATATTGGTGCATCGTGTCCACCGAGGAGGAGAATAGAATGAATTGAAGACGTAAAACATTGTCCAAGCAGTGAGAACACTATAGTAAGCTGTCAGCCAGAATGACAGCATCATGCTTGCAACGCCAACGCCTGAAAATTTAAAATCATTACGTCATTCTGAAGAATGAAAAAAGTCCCCACAAATGTTTATACACCATAGCTCGAAATTTCGCTCCTCGTGTGATTTTAAAATGGGGACTCGTTTAAACGGGAGCAACAGAGTGGAAGTCTGTAAATATGGAGGATTCTTTCTAATGAATTTTGCGACGATTGAGAAAAAATTAACTTTTAAAGTTCATTTTCATTTTTTTTTTATCTTTACATTCATCATTTAATCACGTTACAAACACAAACATTTAAAAAATTACCTCTTATATAATACGATGTTTATAGTTTATTTTAAAATTATCCATAACTTTGAAAAAATAATCCTCCAAATTTCATTCCGTTTTGATAATTGAACATGCATGAATGTAGTTTTCGTTGCACGTAGGATTATTAAAGCTTAATTTTTCTCTTCACAAAAGGGCGGTGTTTTAAAAAACGAAATTTAAAAAAATGTCATGAAATAAGTTACATTTTTGTGCATTACTCAAAATCAGTCAATCCAATTGAAAAATCCCCACGTGCAAACAAAAAAAAGAAAATATTTATTGCAAACATTGTGCCAAAATTTGAAGTAAATCGATTGAAAACTGTAGTAGTTAACAAACACTAGTTAGTTAAATTGTACTAGATACAGCAAGTAAGATAAACATAGTTTAGAGTAAATTGCGTTACAGTTTTGTGATCAATAATCCATATAAAATTTTGTAAATAACTATAAAGCATCAATACCAGGTAAGATGTTACTTTTATCCGTCTCGGGTGCTACTCTTGACCTTTTTCTTGTCCCTCGGGTGATGCATCATATGTTTTTAAAGTAGTAGCCGAAATTCTGTGGACATACTCATTTTGAGCCTTAGGCTGCTAGGCCCATATTTATTTCTAATAATCCCAAAACTACAACCCTCATTTAAAATGATTACAGCCAATTAAGTTTCAATTTCCCTTATTTATATTGAAAGCACCGTTTATTTTTCTTACATAATTGAAACAAATCATTTCAGTAAAATAGTTAAAACGATAATAATTTATTGAAATCTTTTGATAAGTGTGAGCAAATTTACGAATCAACAAAGCGCGCATGTTTATACATGGTGCTGCCTACTCGACATATTTTGTTGTAACTTTTTCACTTTCAAGAAAATCAATTCAATATTTTGGTTTAATAATCTTAAAAAGATAAATTATCGAAAAATGAAATATCTTTTCTTCATTTTTTGAAAAATTAACCCTTTTAACCCCGTTGTAATTTACTGTGTAGATCAGACCTTTAATGTGTAGCTGTGTACCTTTACTGTGTAGATCAGAGTTTCTTAACCGTAGGTCACGTTCTTAAACCGTAGGTCATTTCCCCAATCAAGATCGCGTAGTAAGGGGTCGCCAAAAATATTATCAATATTGATTTTTCTTTAACTTATTCTAATTTTAGCCTAATTATCAAATGATTCGGAGTTAAAAAATAAATTTTAATGCGAAGTTCTCAGAAAACTTCTGACTAGGAGTCATAAAAGAATTTCCAACGATTTCTGGCACTGCATAAGCTTCCTTTTACCCTTTTTCTACGACTTCTTTGTATGAGGCTTATTTGGCTTAATACGACTTATTGATATTAATACGACTTATTTGTGTTGGCATTTTCGTCTTTAGCAACCAGAAGATATAAGTGTCGATCAAATCTAAAAAATACTGAAAGGGTGACAAGCACAACCTTCCCATTGATAATTTCAGGCTGTTAAAAGTAAATGGGTTTTTTTTTCAGAAGTAATCATCCAAGCGGTTACTACTGAACACTCTACTTTCAGACTATAATTAATTTTGAATTTACACAAGTAATTAAATGTATTTGTAAGATTTCTACTTATGTAAAGTTTTAACGTTATTCTATGTCTCAAAATTAAAAATTAAAGTTAATGACCTAAATCTGCACTAGTATATTACAGTACGAGAGAAGAAGAATTTGACTCACACGTACTGTTTGTCTAAGATAGGTACTCTGCCAGACATTCGTCTGGAGCTGTGGCGGTGACTATGGTAACGAGGTATGATTATTTCAAGTAGGGGTGCGGGGTTCCTCTTAAGGACTAGTTTTGGCGAGAGAAAAGGAGACCTCTTCATCGTAGCTACCCTCCCTAAAATGCCCTCTTCTTGCTTCCATAGCACCAGATTGCCGCAGACTTAGTGGCGGTCAGAGTACCTATCTTAGACAAACAGTATGTTGGATTTACACGATGGCAATGAATGGTTGACTTGACTGAATGTGAACAATAACAAGCTTTGTAAAACCGGAAGAAATTTAGAAAACTTCCGGTGTATCCCTCCGCTTACGTTATGCTTACGAGGCGATGTGTGAATAGGCTTAATATTCTAGGAAGTTTTACTACTGTGATTTGTGTTTTAATTTACGCGTAATTTTACCATTCATAATAGCTTTCTGTTATTTATAAATTCTAAAAGATCGTGAGCCTTAAATAAAATTAGGAAAATTAATATCGCAACATAAATAAAGTGCAAGGTTTGCCATGTTTTGAGTGTTATCCCTTATTTGGCTACATTTGTGTAAAATATCACGGTTAGTTATTTTTTGGGTTACTTCTTGTAGGGCATAAATATGCTTGCGGTGTCTTCCAAATTCGTATGTTGTTTGTTTCGTTGAAATTTAAATTTAAAAATGCGTTATATTGTAAACACTACAAGTATAATTATACTTGATGGCTCCCTTTTTCAAACTTTGATGTAAAAATCAATCGGGAGTAGTAATCCAGAAGTCTGTACGACGGATTTTAATTCCTAGTGCCATCTGTGCTCAGCTTTACACGGCGAACCATCCATAGGATCCCACAAAATTGTTGTTTACATTAGAAGGTCCCCTCAGTGGCGGATCCAGCGCACGCGGGGGGGGGGGGCATAGGGGGCATGNATTGAAAATACAGTGGAGAATCCAGCGCGGGGGGGGGTCATAGGGGTCATGACCCCCCTCTAGATTTGAAAAAAAAATTCAATTTTTTTAATAGTTTGCAAAAGAAATAAAATATTTTAAAAATTATTTAAGGGAGCATATACACCTAAGTAGGTCGGAAAAATCGATTTTTTTCTATCTAATTACGTTCTTCACTGTTTCAAGAATCATAATCCAAAAGATTAAAACGAAATTCGTCATAGTTTCATTGTAAACATTAATAACGTTGAAGCGTGCTTCAACAGGTTTAACCAAAGATTGTATAAAGGTGAAGAGGGGAAACTTGCAAAACTCGTAACTAAAATCTGGCACCATGCCAAGAACGATTCAAATCAAGAACGATTATACGGACTCGCATTATTAAACATTCATCGAGAGATTGGTTTCGATGTTGAAAAAAAATCATTGACAGATTTGCCGAAGTTTCTTAAAAACGCGGGGACATTTATTATTTAAAGATTTTGAATACTTGAATTATTTATGTATTGTTCTATCGTTCATTATGAAAAAAAATAAATGCGAAGACTTAAAAATCTCAGTTTCTTTTCTTCTTTTTTTTCAAAACAAAATATTAAAGAAATTTTTTTTTCATAAAAAAAATTAATTGTGGGGGGTAGGAANGGGGGGGGGGGAATCTGAGTCCTATGACACCCCCCAGGAAAAATTTCTGAATCCGCCCCTGTGTCGAAAAGTTTAAGATACCCTGGTGTAGATTACGACGGGACCAGATTCTTTCAACTAATAGTTTGCGAGTAAGGAAATCTCCGGTAAAAGCGTTTTTATTGTACTAGATAATATGATAGGACATAATCTTTTCGCAACACTGCATAGATTAAACGCCAAATTTTGGGACTCTATAATGATGTTTTATATATATACTAGGAGGCTCTGCCCCCTGCTCGCTTACGCTCGCCAACCCCCGAGAATTGCTACGCAATCCTATGTGGTTCACGCCGTGAACCATGGCTCGCTGCGCTCGCTCGCCAATGAACACAATGTTCTAGCACAAAGACATA